TCTTATAATAATTAAGATTCCTTATAATTAATAAAACATTTTTAATATTAAAAATATATCTCATTAATATACTGCAGATTGTTGTGTTACTTCAATAGCTCTTTTGTTGTTTTGCTCAACAAGAAAGGGCTAAGGGAACACATTTGTATATAAGTGAAAATCACCCTCTTTGCATGGATGGCAGTGTACGTTTTTTTCTGTATCAAGTATTGTTAGAATGAACTGATTTGGTGTATCAGTGACGGTTTTGTGTCATAAAGAGAGAGACTTACTTTTATTAATTATACAACTGAAGAAGGCTGTAGAATGAATCAACCAAAACGTAATAACACAGTTTCTTTTGCTAAGTAAAAGCAGCAACAATTCAAGCAGAGATTATTACTTGATTCAACCTCATCAAATAGTTCTATCAAAAGATAAAATGCAATGAAACATCCAACAAAAAGTTGGTGGCAGGTAAGAGTCTATACATGTTTCATTGATTACAAAGAACAGTTGCAAGTTATGCATGGTGTATCTTAAGAAATCCTCTTTATTAGAAACTTACCAAGTTTATTAGATACAGAAATCCACTTAATGACACACACAAAGAAATTGAATAAACAACATTTGATAGTCTACAATGAAAAGAGTGTTAGTTTTCTATACAGGAAAAAAAAAATGCTTACTCGTTCTATAACCGGCTTGGTCTGGTTTATAAGGGGGAGATCTTATTGCTGGGGAGAGAACTGGGGACGGGCCTTGGCTATTTCCTCCAGCCTCAGAGCCCTCTGTTGAAGGCCGGCGATTGTTCAAGATTTCAAAACTTCCTCCCAATTTGTTGTTCCCAGGTTTCTTTTTTTGCCTGAAACAAGAAAGTAAATGATGAAAAATAAACTGCTTCAATTGGACAATATAACAGCATTTTTAATTATTAAGAATAGGTTGGTAAATTCTTCTGTGAAGGCAAGGAGCACAATATACCCATAATATTCTGTATAAGCTTCCTAGCAGAACATGATTAAGCATTAAATCTGGGATTCCCAAGTGGGCAGCACTGTCCCATAAAAGAGTACAATGAACAAAAACGTTTGAGAATCAAAGATATAGAACAACATAATTGTTGTAATGGAATAATCCCACACTCCCTATTGCCTATGTGGACTGACTATATCAGTAGCTATATATAGTGAGCACAGGATATACCTGGGGGCTTTCTTCGGGAATTACTAGCCTGCCACCAGATTCCCTGTTTTTCAGTAATGTATTCTTTTTTACAATAAACCTCTCTTTCTTTCATCTGCGAATGTATTGCTGTTCCTTCACTCAAGTACCATCTTTGTCTGTTTGTAACCTCTTTAAAGAATACAATAACAACTGCACAGTTTTGCAAAGCTTTAGATTTTTACAAAAGAAAAAGGCAAAACATAAATGTTAAAAACATGGGGAAAATAGGAAAAGTTTGAGAAATTAAAAAGATTATAACAAAAATTTAAAAAGAAAAATAGGATGACATCTGGCGTGTCAAGCCAGACATACAGAAAAGTGAAGCCTCCAGCTTCAAACGTTTAAAGAATTAAGCATCCGTCACAATCATGAAGATCCCACTAATTTTCCAGATAGATAACTTATTCTGACATCCATGAAGATTAGTTCAGGTGCATAAACATAGGGTACAATGGGTTAGGTTAATATTGTATTTAAAAGATTGCCTCCACTAGCAGAACGTATAATGTTCTGAGAATGTAAAAAAAAAAATTAGAAAATTTTTTATTTTTATTTTTTAAATTTTACTGAGAGAGACATTGTCTCAGGATAACACTATTAAAACTAGATTTCACCTGGACAATACACATAAACTGTTCATACGTTACCAATGTTAAATCACTATGGGTAGAGTCTTGAAGGGCTAGGCTCATTCATGATATTCAGCACCTGGGTGCTGAATTGTTACTTGCTAGAGACTACTTATTGCAAGTGAATATAGGTCATTGTCGACTTACGACCATGATTTACAGGTCGTAAATTGATCTGGTCGTAAATTGGCCTGTAATTAATTTTGCAATTTTTTTTTTTAGTCATTATTGTAGTTTTTATAACTTCTATGGTTTCTTTACATTTGATACCATTTTAATCATCTCTCTGCACATTGTTTTGGTTCTTATTTTAATGTCCGTCAAGTTAAAAACTGCATACTACAGTACTGTTGGTAGTGATATATATAAGCTAAACATGCAAAATACAGGTGAAAAAAACAGAAAACACTTTAATTGCAAAAAAGCATACCAAAATATATACAAATACAAAAAAAACTTATTAGCCAAGCTGGAAAACACTCACACTGCCAGACAAGGATCAGTCATGGCCAGGCATACCAAATTTGCAGTTGTGAAGTCAAACAGTTGTAAGTTGATGACAACCTGTATTAGAATAGAATATAGAGCTTTTGTCTCTTCTCAACATATTTGGGTGTCATTCAAGAGGAGTTACCTGGTAAATTACTGTGTACAACATGTTCACTTGTCTTCAGAGATATGACAGGCAGTCCGTGCATGCTGAACATTACAACGATGGAGCAAGTATCATTTCATCGGACCTTATTCTCCCTATGACAATCGGGAAAAGCCTGCAACGGCCAGCAAAAAAATCAGATTGCATAAGATAGTGTCAGGGGCTAAAACCAAAATAAGTGTTAGCATGTGTTTGGGCTTATCCTCTCCCTTGTCCTCTCAGTGGGACAGACAGGCAATACAAAATACTCTGTGTCTCCAGCCAGAGAAGATCTGGTTGGAGATACTTCAGAATAGTGGTCGGCAACATCCAGCTCACCAACTTAATAATAGTAAGGAATTCACATTTTTTGTTGATTGTGTTAATTGTTATCCTGTTATTCCTGCAGTAAAACAAGGAATCTTTTTTAAATAATATAACAATAACTTTGAGGTTTTTTCTTCAAACCTCAGACCAAGGCAGCCTTCTGGATTGAGGTTGAGAATCTATTATAGTTCATTTGATATCATGGCCCACGTCTGCAACACTGCATAGCTGTCTGGCCTGCTCTCTCCAAAAGGCTGCCGACCCCTGCTCTAGAAGGTCGATGCTGTGGCTAATTTATGATCCAGAAGGTATAAGTTAGGAGTTAGATTTTAACAGCCACTCCAAGACCAGAAGATATGTTACAAAGAAGGTTCCAAGCCAATATTTGACTAATTTTGCTTTTCCTATCACTGCATTATCTGCAGTATATATGATGATAGAAAAATACTGATCAGTCATGGTTCTTAAAGTCATCAGAAAGGTGTGATTGTTTCTATAATCCAGTCCTTAATAAACCATATTGCTACTGAACACAGGCCCCCCCCCTCTCTCTGTTATTTGGAGCAGCCATTGTTTCCTCATGTTTATATACAACAGGCTTTTCCAAATATTTTGAATCACAATTTCTTTTTGTTTTTGTTACCAAAAAATCCTTTGTGGTTTTCTTTCTCTGTCTCAAAATCCATTTCTGGTGAAATCAACCATTGGTGATTTTCTCTATGGAAGGCCAGATGCATAAAAAAAAAAAATCTACTTAAAAGTGTTCATGAGATTTTGTTTGGAGGAAACACTAACACTGAGACAATTCTTTCTTTATTTTTTTTTTTTTTTAAGAAAAGATTTAATTCAATTTTTTCTGCCATAACGTGGCTCCCCTCTGTCCTTTCCATAAATATCTTCATGGCAATTGTTCTAATGAGCTTTCCTCCTTGATAACTGCATGAATTTAAGTGTATGACTAGATTGGCAACTAGGTCATCATTTTACTGTTGAGATAGCTAGATATAAACATAAGTCTTATTTTAATAGTTTCTTTTCTCACACTTCTTGCCTGTAAAACTCTTCTGGTTTTTTGCTTCCCTGCCACCTACAATCTTCTAAAATTTAAATACAATGTAAATCGCCATCATCTGTCTCCCTGAACTTTGTTCTTTTATTGTCCATTATCTTCACTAGTCTTCTCATTCTCTTACACTCTCAGTAGCATCACCTTACTTGGGGTGAAATGATTTAAAAAAAAAAAAAAAAAAAAAAAAAAAAAAAAAATCAACTAAATCATATAGTTTTTCTTCATCCATGAAATGAGGGATTTGGAATAAAAGGAAATTATTCACATGTATTGAATATATATAAATATGTAATTTGTAACAAAAATAATTATAGTTTTTTTTTGTCAAGAATATAAATAATCAGCAGCAGCAGCTACTGAGTTAAAAAAAAAAAATTCAAAATCAATATTGTTAATATTACAAAAAAACAGAGTTAAAAAAAATAAAATCTTTCCTTATAGGAATAGAAAAATGTCATCTATCATAACTGCAAGCAAAAAAAAATCTCAATTGCACTTGCAAATCCTCAAATTTTTACATAACCTCTTTAGTGGGTTGCATCCCTTACTTGATGAAGGTCTGTTATACAGCCCCACTTGAACTTTCCATCTGAAGCCTTTCCCAGCTAACTTGTGTAGATCTGATCTTCAAAACTCTGGGGGGTGAACTGTTAAGTTCTTTTGTTAAGCTAGTTTAACTTAGTTTTAGGAATGTATGGTCATTGGTTCTGCTTTTTGCCTCCCCTCCGTATTATTTTTCAACTAGTTAACTTAAAATCCTGCCATACTGGATTGTAAGGTGGAATGAACACATTTTTATCAATATATTTCATTTCAATCCTTGTGAGGGTGGTGGATTTTTAAGTTATATGAAAGATTCCAGAATAATGTGATGTCAGGCCAAATGAATTAAGGAAGAATGACTGGGTCAGTAAACATTTACTAATTTAATAATACGATAGTGACGACCAACCTGTCAACTTCAACAATTTTTTTTTCATCTCTTACCATTATCATTTCTTTTTTTTTTTTTTTTTTTAACCATTTCACACCAAGCAAGGAAATAAAGCCACTAAGATGCAAGGGGTTACCGAGTGTGAAAGAATAAGAGAAAAAGTAAAACACTATTAAGGAATGAGAAAAAAAAAGAAAAGGGGATTAAGACAGTAGATAATGATTTGACATCACATTTAAATTTTTAAAATTCAAAGTTGGCTGGAAAGCATGGAGCTGAAAAAGAGTTTCACAAAGAAGTACTAGAAAAGAAAATGTTAGCAGAGAATTTATGGTTACATCTAGACATTTCAACTGTAAAATGATGAGACCTTTCTACCAATCTAGTACTGCGCTTAAATTTGTAAAGTGTAGGTACCAAAGAGGAAAGTTACCATGAAAATATTTATAGAAAAGGCACAGGGAAACTATGTCACATTGGTAGGAAAGTGACTGAAGATGGAATGACAGGTCAGGACTGATAACATTGCAGATTCTTCTTTTGATTTTATCCAAAAGCTCTAAATACATAGCAAAAGCACCAGATGAGATATGACAGCAATATTCAGTGCTTGGACAAATAGTAGACTTATAAATGTTTAAGACAGATTCTGGCAAGAAAAATTGTCTAGCATAACACAATGAACTAACTTTCCTAGCAGCAGAACTAGCAACTGATTCAATATAATCTTTCCATTTCATATCAGTGGAAAACGTTAGCCAGAGAAAGTGCAACAATTCACTCTGCAGGAGATTAGCATCAGCCATGCTGCCTGAGGGCAAAGAAGGTTCTCAGTGATGATTGAAAGAGTGGTTTTGTTTTAGAGGTGATAAAATTAGCCAGCCATTTCTTGTCCCAGTTAACAACCATATAGAACACCTATTAAAATTTTGTTATCTAACATGCAATCAATTATGACAGAAGAACAATAATCTCTTCTGGATGAAATAGGCAATGCAATTTGCTGTCTCTGCACATTCAGGTAAATGCCATTCTCTTCACAGAT